TTTTTAAAAAATCTGGCTTTAGAACTGATAAGACCACATCAAATGTTACAAATGAACATAAGAACTCTCCCTGTATTGTTACGAATGTAAATAGGTTCATCTCGAATTCCATTTAGGAATTCGAGATGAAGCAGAGCCGGTAGAAATAGAATAAGTATCTAATACATGTGCATACTGTCCTTAAAAGAAGAACCGAAAATCTCAGACAAAATTCTGCAAGCCAAATTGTAGAAGACCGATTTGTAAGGAACACACAAAAACTTTGTGTAATTCCTGTGGCGAATAGAAGAGGAAGAATCTAAGTAGATGCATTTATTATTTTTAGATGTGTGTCATATTTTTAAAACTTTTCATTTGTGTATTGATTATCTCTTTTGTCAATTAACATATTATTTTTGCTTTATGTATTTGACATTTTAATACTTTTGATCTATATTATTTTATCACATTTGTTTTGTTAAATAAATAAAAAAATTGATTTATGGGACCTTCTTTAATATGTGAGTATAAACCATTTTATTTTTATACATGTTGAAGTTCATTCTTTCTCGAAATAAGTCGAATTAATGTAGGTGAGGGCGACGCTCATACGCGTGCAACCTTGTCACAATGGAAGACGCATGTAACGGCGGGTTAATGGAATCAATTGTTTTCTTATTCACGGCCACTCCTTCTTTACTGACTATATGACCCAGATAATTGACTTTACCTTGAAATAGCTGGCACTTCTAAGTCGATTAAAAATGTCTTCTAAATTCTTTAGATGATCTTCAAATGTCTCCCAAAAGACGATTATGTCATCGAGATACACCAGGCATGTTTTTGAAGATCATCCTCTTAACACATTTTCCACAAGCCTCTTAAATGTAGCAGGAGCATTACAGAGTCCAAATGGCATAACGTTGAATTGCCACAATCCAGATCCGGTGGTGAAGGTTGTCTTTTCTTTATCTAGCGGGTCCATTTCTACCTTCTAGTATCCAGACTTCCAATCCAAAATAGAAAACAATTTACTTTCAGCCACTGTGTCCAATTTGTCGTCAATCCGAGGCAAAGAATAACTATCTTTCTTGGAAACGTTGTTCAGCAAACGGTAATCCACACAGAACCTCGTCGTTCCGTCTTTCTTCTTAACCAGGACCACCGGAGAGACCCATGGGCTCGTAGTAGAAGGTTCTATCATCCCGTCTTTCTTCATTTCCTGAACAATCGTTTCAGCTTCCTCTCTTTTTGCCTGTGGTAATCATGGAGCTGTTTGACAAATTGGCTTAGCATTACCAGTATCAATTTTATGCTTAACAACGGTAGTTCTTCCCGTCTTTTCTCTTTTCGGTACAAAAATATCACGATACTGCTGAAAACCATCCCTTAATTTCCTTTTCTCAATCTGATTTAGAGACTGTACAGCAACTGTAACCGTTTGGTCGAATTTGTCGTTGGAATTAATAGATGTTATCGTCTGACGGATTATGGATGTCACAGGTACACAAGTTTCTAATTTCGTCTATTTCTTGATGGTTACTAAATAGTCATTGACATTGATAAGTCTCACAGGTATTTCTTTAGCCGAAGTCACCAATTCCTTTCCAATTATCATTCCTCGGCCAACCCCGTCGTTATGGTTCCAAGGCTCCATCATAACAGGTGTCCCTTCGTACACAATGCCTGTAACCGCGCTACTATGATCGTTTCACTTCTCGCAGGCACGACTGTATCTTCTTTAGCGGCTGCTTGCACAGTGTTGTCATCATGTGGATGAAGAAATAGCTCCTCGTTACCAACTTTGATTACCTTATTGTTTTGAAGCTATTTTCTGGTGGCATTTTAAATTAATTACTATTTAACTAGGAATAAGCCACAATTAAAGATAAAAATACGTTTATTGACGTTTCAATTTCCACTTCGGAAATCGTTCTCAAAATATAAACAGTAATAATAACACGAAGTGAAAATTGAAACGTCAATAAACGTATTTTTATCTTTCATTGTGGCTTATTCTTAGTTAAATAGTAATTAATTTGATTACCTTATTCTTAAAATATAATTGGAATCCGTGCATATTCATTACGTCCATTTCTAATATAACATCGTCTTCGATGTTAGCAACTATAACAGTATGGACGAACTTTTCTGCTTCAGTTCCTAATTGTATCTGGATTTCTCCATGAATGTTGGCATTTTCACCCGTAGCGGTCCAAAGTCGCAACCTCGTTGGTAACAGTTTCTTACGGTTGTTGTTAACAACGTATGTTTTTTACCATTTATTTCGCCATCTACATATACACTGTCTTCACGACATTTTAAAGAAGCTATATAAGAGAGTCTTCGAAAAAGTTTTGGGTCGAAGCTTCTCCCCTAAGGCCGATCCGTTCTAGTTTTTCTGATGGTGAGTTTCTTAATTTGCGTCGTACCTAGAGTGCTTACAAGAACTTCGTACGTATCCTATTTCGCCACAATTCTAGCATATTATGGTCTTCGTTTTCTTGTATGTAATACTTTTCATCATATTAACGAGCTGGTCAAGTTTATCTTCATCTCCTTCCTTTTTTACAGTCCTAACTTTACTGTGCCCGCCAGAGGCCTGCGTAGCTGACTCGTATTCGAGGGCGGTGGATAAGACATTAACCAGCCTCTTGTGACGAGCTAATCGTAGTGTTCTCTGCATTTAATGGTCTCGAAGTCCATCAATAAATGTTTGAACGGTGAACTTTTCCATCATGTCTTCGGGATTTGTTGGATAAGCATATCGTACTAATCTGGCAATATCTACCTCATATTCTTGAAGAGCCTCATCTTTAGTTTGTCTTCGATTTTTAAGCTGCGACTGATATACATGCTCCAAATGTTTGTGGCGATATCGCATATTTAACCTCTTTTTGAGTTGTTCGAAATCATCCGTCTCCTCTACGGCTATGGTCTGAAGCAGATCTAAGATATCTCCTCGAAGAGACAAAGTCAGGTTTACAGCCTTTTTTTTTCAGACCATCCATTCGCTCTTGCAGCTCGAACTGTTTCATGTAGTTGTTCCATGACGATTTTCCGTCGAAAGTTGGGACTTTGACATGAACAGAACCTCCACTTCCTTCAAATTTCGGCCGTGTTTCCAACTTACATATATTTTCTTCAAAGGCCAACATATCGGCAGCAACTTGGTTCTTTAACGAAGACATTCTATCGTCCAGGCAGACATTTTAGAAGTGACTTTAGAGATGTTAGCAGAAACTTTGCTTTCCAGAGAAGAAATCTCGTTATAAACTTTGCTTTCTAAAGAAGCGATGTCACCGGAACCTTTGTGCTCTAATGATGCGATGTTACCAGAAACTTTGGCTACATCAGAAGAAACTTTCGAAATATCACCAGAAACTTTGTTCTCTAATTTCAAAATCGACGAGATGACAGCATCTTCAAATATATAAGTTTCAGGGTCCAAACCCTCTTCTTTCAAAGCATTTTTTAGTTGTTGGACTAAATCTGCCTTTTTTCCGGTAGACGCTAATTCTCTGTCGTCGAGATTTCTTCTTAAATCCGTAACTGTGAGCTCGTAAATCGTCGTCATTTTCACAATTTATTTAAAATATTCACTTTTGAACACCAATGTTGAGTTTTTATTAATTCTAATTTATTTACTTTATTTCCCTTATTGTAATTCACTTAAACACAATAATTTATATCAATTTATTATACCACTTATTCGATACAACAATTTATTTTCGACTAACTGCTCTCAAAATAAAATGTCCCTTATATATAAATAACCGATAGTTCTGGAATCACAGCAAAGAAGCGATTACCTCCCGTCGAAGGAATTCCATCAAAAGAATGTTCTTTTTTATATCGGAGGGGGACTCATCGTTTCAGTTAGATATTGCCGCAAGTTTTGGAGCCACGAGTGTCTTCTCCTCCCTGGACCCCTTCTGCTGTCTATTTTCTCTTGAACGATCAGCTGTAGTACTCCATATTTATTATGTCTCATAACGTGACCCAAGTATTCCAACTTTCTTTTCTTTGCACATCCAACGATGTGAAGGTTTAACAGCAGGTTCATATCTTAGAAGAAATTAAAATTTTCTTTAATTTCAATTGATAAAAAAATAACAATAAATTCCTAACGGCATAAATTAAAACAATTAATTCGAAAAAAAAAAACAATTTTATAATTTTCATTAAAACTATTTTAAATAAAATTTTTAAAAACTCCGTCTTTGGGCGTTCGACAACATTTCGGATGTTATACTTTGAAGGCTTGAATGATTTTTTAAAGTAATTCGTCGTAATTGTTGGCAAGTTCATGCTTAGATCGGTATATTTGTTGCTTCACAGAACTCCATACAAAAAAGTCCAAAGCTGTAAGATCAGGAGAGTGAGATGGCATTTTTATGATACCTTTTGTATCATCGTACTGTACCTTTTGTACCTATCTGAAAACGTAATATTTATTAAAAAATCTAACACCTCCCGTGCACTGTGAGCTGGACAACCGTCTTGATGTAACCAAATTTCATCTATATTAGTGAAATGCAAAAATAGCTGTATCGTCAGCATACATTACTATTTTATTATCGAATACCTGAGAAATGTCAATGAAAGCAGCTGAGCAGTATCTTCTTTAAATCTTTGTTTATTGGGTTTACCAGTCTATGCAGTTGTTCTGTAGTTACCTGCTTATTGTGTAAACCAAATTGATGTCCTACAATAATTATATATTTTTTTATTACCAGTTTTAGCCCTTTCACGTATTTCTTCTCAAAGACTTTGCTGATCATAGGCATAAGGTTTATAAGTATATAAGGTTATAAATAAAACAAATTTAAAAATTTAACATAACCTAAATTAACAATAATAAATTTGGAGTGTAGATATTTTCTTCTAAACATAACGTATTCTGAAATCATTAATTTATTCCTTTCACTTAAATGTGGGTTATGTAAAAGTTTTTACATACTACAGCGAACAATTCTTAGAAAAAACCTGAAAAATATCCCTTGTTTGTTATATTTTAGGTAATACTGATCGATTAGTAATAACTCCTCTGACGGATAGATGTTACCGAACACTTATTGGAGCGTACCATCTACATTTAAATGGAGCACCTGAAGGTCCTGCAGGTACAGGAAAAACAGAAACAACAAAAGATTTAGCTAAAGCACTGGCGGTTCAGTGCGTAGTTTTTAATTGTTCTGATGGTCTGGATTACATAGCTATGGGAAAATTCTTTAAAGGTACAGACAACATGATTAAATATTTTGTGTCTAAGATTTCGGTTATTTTTATATATTTTTTAATTTTTTAACTCCGAATTTTTTTCTGGTGATCTTTCGATTTTCAAGTTTTTATCCTCTTCTTTTCTACACTTAAACTTAAAAATTTGTTAATTTTACCAACAAGTCTTAAATCTGTCAAACTATACCGTACTCCGTCGACATAGTTGTTCGATTAGTGATTTTCATCAATCTTTCTATTGTTATTTTTACACGAATATTCTACTTTGATTTCATTTCTCAAAATGGTCCAAAAACTAGTTTTCTCTAGAATTTACTTATAATTTGCTATATTTAATGGGAAGAAACTACAATTTTAATTTAAAAATGAAATAAATTTAACGTTCTATTTTCACCAGAAAAAATATAAGGTTTTTTTAAATAAAATTATGATCATTTGCCAATAAATATAAAAGATTTCGTTCTTAAACACACCAAATATAAAGATTTTAACAGAAGGTTAGGTGAAGACATAAATATCATTGGAAAATGGTGGAAGTACCGATGGTTGATTGAAATGTCCTTTAAGCAAGACATTGTATAAAAATACATCTTCTGTTGATATCACTAACTTTAAAAATTACAACAATAGACAAGTGTACATAGCAATCGATATTTAATTCTGATAATGCAAAAGGAACTATTTGTTCAAAAATGTCTACTCATCCTTTAATAGCTAGCAGTGAAATCAAGCTAGGAAAATTTGCAAAAAGTCGCAAAACTCGAAAAATAAATATAACAGAGGATAAACATAACAAATGGTACATCTAAATATGTCACCAAATTAATAAAATAATACATGAAAAAATTGTGTACAAATATGTAAAATATTTAAAGATAATATCTTACAACTAATAGAAAAACATACTAAAAAGAGTCAAAGACAAAAAGAACAATGTATACTACCGAACTTCTTGAATTGATCGAGTAGAAAGACAACAGAGAAACAATATTGAGAAATATAATAAAAAACAAAATTAATGAATCAAAAGATAAACAACGCGAAAGAAAATTGGATGGCAGATAAATGCATTGAAATTGAAGAGTTGCAACAAACACGACACATTTAATATGTTCAAAAAAAGCATAGAAATAGATGGATTATTCATAATAAAACTGCTTATAAAATTGTAGACTCCACAGTGTAAATATTGATTAATAAAGAAGAAATTCGAACAACTTGGTTTACGTACATAACTGAACTATTTATTGATGTCAGACGAGAAAGACAAAAGTTATTAGGTAAAAACGAAGAACCAGAAATACTTAAGGTAGAAGTACTGCATGCTATAAAATTGGTAAAGAACAGGACATATGTTAGCCCTGATATCATCCTAGCAGATATTTTAAAACTAATTAACGAAAAATTTAGTAAACAAAATTTGAACATCCTTAAATACATAAGGTAACATGGAGGTCACCAGATCAGAAAACATACAGTCAAATTGATCACATAATGATTATTAAACGAAAACAATCGTCAATAAAAGATGTATTAACATTAAGAGCTGCGTGTGCATATTCAGACAACTGCATGGTCACATCCTTTATAAGACAAAAAGTTAAAATTGAAACAAAACAGAAAAAGCAAAACATAAAAGTGGAATGTCAATAAAATGAGTAATGAAGAAGTAAGAAAAAATATAAAAAGGCAGTAATAGTTCAAATAAGAGAGAAATATAAGCCAAAATTACACGGCTAAGAACAGATAAAGAGAAAGACAAAGAGGAATACGAAAAATTAAGAAAGAATGCTAAGAAAGTGATAAAGCAAAAGAAAAGAAGATGGGTAGACGAAAAATTCAGGAAATAGAGCAAGAAAGAACAAACGAAAATACAAAAATTTTTTACAAAAAGATTGAATAACAAAACAAAAAATAATATAAAAAAAAACAAAAGAAATAAAAAATAAAGAGTGAACAGTGATAATAGAAGATCAAGAATACAAGCAAGTATTGAGGAATTACTACAGAGAGCTCTTGACGGAGGAAACAACAGAAGAAGAAATAAATAACGAAAAAAAAACGGTACACGATGAAGAATCAGACGAAGTAGATGAAATAGACATCGAAATCTCAAAAGAACCAACATTAGAGGAATTGGAGGAAGTAATACAAAGAAGCAAAAATGGAAAAAGCCCCTGTTAAAGATGGAATTAATATGGAACTAATTAAATACGAATAAAGGGAGCTAAGAGAAAAAATACTGACACTATTAAAAAATGTATGGAAGGAAGAGAAAATGCCAGGGGACTGGGAGGTACGGCACATCATAACAGTACATACAAAGAGAGACCAACAAATTTGTGAAAATTGTAGAGGAATAACGTTACTAAATATATCATATAAAATATGGCATCAATAACAAAAAGGAGGTTATCAAAGATCACAAAGAAAGCAGTAGGACAGTACTAATGTGTATTCACAGCATCGAGCAAAAAAACAAAAGAGGGAATGTAAAGGTAGTGGGGGCAAAATATTGTTAGACAGGAAGTTACATCTTGCGAGGCCACATTAAACAAGGAACGAGAGTCTTTCCTTGTTTAAGAAATCAAATTTAGTTGGCTTATGTTATTGTTTGTCCCAACTGTCACATGAAATCTTATGTATATTGAAGTTTATTAACAATTATGTCACATTTTAGACTGTTATCGTTTATGTTTATGTTTATTTAAAGTTTCTAGTCTAAGACACATTCTGAAAACTATTTTATAGCTACTGTTAATAAGTGTCGAAAAATTTAAATTTGGCGCATTCGCATTTCCGGATATGTCCGCCATCAGAGGCCACTTTTTTGGTCTCCTTTTCATAACGATTAGATTCCCTCTTTTGTCTTTTTGCTCGATGATTCACAGATAAAAAATCTACAATAGATGCAATACATACAATAAAACAAATAATGAAAAAGCAAACGAATATAAATTAGAATTGAAAATGTTATTCATAGACTTCAAACTGGCATTTAATTCAATTAAAAGAAACAGAGTATTGAGAAAATTAATAGAAATGACAATGAGAATTACAAAAATTAGCATAAAGATACAGAGAGGAGAGACAGAGGAATTCAGTATAAATAAAGGAATGAAACAAGGAGATGTCTTATTAACAACGCTATTTACTCTACCATTAGAATATGTACTACGAAATATAAATAAAGGAAATCTAAGAGCAGGGGGTGGTCAAATAATCGCATATGCAGAGGATATTGCTATTATTGCAGAACATTATTATATAATAACAGGAAAATAATGAAAAAAATATACTAGTAGATAAAGATAATGCTAGAAGAAGTAAAAGAGAAAGGAGAGGTAATGGGTCGAAGATTAAATCAAGAAAACACAAAAATATTAAGATTAGGCAAAAAGGCAATAAAAGAAAAAATCAAAATAGGAAGTTCTGAGCTTAATGAAGTAGAATACTTCAAATACCGAGGAGTTACAATAAACAAACCGCATTAAGGAAGTCCGAAATAAAAGAAAAAATATTAGCAGCGAATAAAGCTTATTTTGCAAACAAAAGATTACTTAAAAGTAAAACACCGACTAAGAAAACTAAGATGAACATTTTTTTAGGCCAATATTATTATATGCAGGAGAAACAATGACGATGGTTCAAACAATATGAAGAAGACTTAAGAATAGCGGAGAGAAAGAATATACGAAAAAAAATATTGGGACAAATCAGAACACATTAAAATGAATATAGAAGCAGAAAAAATGCAAAGATCAAGGAAGAACTTAAGAAAGACATCGTGACTAAAATAAAGCAATGCAGAGTTTGATTGTTAGGTCACATTTAGCGAGAGGGAGATGAAGCAGTGACATACGCAATGATAGAATGAAATCCAGGAGGAAGAAAAGAAGGAGAATACCAAGATCAAAGTGGCTGCCAGAAGTTAAAGAAGACCTCCAAAGGGCAGGAATCAGAGAATGGAGAGGAAAAACTAGAGATATGAAAAAATGGAGAAATATGGTCAAAAAGATAACATAAACAAAAGGGACTGATTCACCAAGGTGAATTCTGGATAAGGTCTGAATAAGGTCTGAATTCATAAGTTAAAAAAAAACAACGTCCTTTGCTACAAAAATACCAACGTAAAGATGTATTAAATGCTTTTATTAATTATCAACCGATGATGTAGTAAATTATGAGAAGTTAATTAAAATATTAAGTTATAAAGAAGTTGATAGTCTCAACATCAGGATCTTTAAAAAATATTGGCATCAATCTGCAATCATTTGCATTAATGAAAAGTCGACAGAAGACTGTAAGAATTTAAAGCTAGTAAGACAAGGTGATGTGCTGTCCCCAGTCTTGTTTACTTAATATTTAGATAAAATCATTAAAAGTGTTTTGCTTAACTTGGAATATGGTGTATAAATTAATGAAAAACAGTTATATGCATGACTTAATTGGATTGCTATGTCGTTTAACATCTCTGTTGTATATGTTTAATTGTCTTATATAATGTCGAAGCAAGGACCCTAAAAATATTTACTATTAACCGCTTAGAGGCATTTGAAATGTGGTTATATAGACGAACATTACCAAAAATATCATTGATGGCTAAACAGACAAAAAAAACAGCTCTTAACAAAGGAAAAAATCGTCAGCTAGTTAATATCTTTAAATCCAGAAAAATAGTATAATATTATTCTTCTAATTATGATTGGTAAAATCGAAGAGACGCAGGAGAACTGGTAGAAAACAAACCTCGTAGTTAAAGAATGTCATAAATTGGACCGGAGCAACTGTTCAGAATAGTTTAATATACATAGAAACTTGGAGACACTGGAAAACTTAATAAGGCACGTTAAGAAGAGTTTTTTAAATATTTTTTATTTGTGGTGTGCGTCGATGATAAAATATATGACTTTTTGGCTGCAAGTAATCCATCAAAATCCGAAGAGAGATAGTTTGATTTTTCTGGTTGAATTTGCTTAAAATTTGTAAGAAAATTAGAAGAACATTTTTTTCCATTTTCTTGTTTTGTGTCACCAATTTTTGTTTAATGTCATCAGGCCTATTAGATTTGATGTAGGATCCTAGCGTTTGCTTGTTAGAATTAAATTTAAATTTTAGAGTACATAAAGTATGATTTTAATAATTAGGCCTTGCATCGTGTGGAGCGTGGGTATGTTTTGACGAATTCAATAGAATCGACATTGAAGTACTGTCTGTAGTCGCTCAACAAATTCTATTAATAGTACTAGCCGTAAGAGCACATGCTGCTAAGTTTAACTTCGAAGGAACAGAAATTAAGTTAAACCCTGCTTGTTATGTGTGTATTACGATGAATCCTGGATATGCAGGAAGAACAGAATTGCCAGATAACTTAAAGGTAATACTAAAAATATAGGTTATTTAAACAATAATTTTTCTAGTAACTTATTGATCTATCATATCTTAAAAAAATATATGCAATTAATGGAAAAATCCCAGTAATCCCAATAGTATACTATAGTTAAAAAACTTAAACAGAAATAAAAAACTTCAAAATTTTTAAATTAGTATAATATACCAATATACAAAGTTTTTTTACTTCTGTATAAGTTAAAAAAAATACTTTTTATTTTACAAATATAAAACAAATTGTATTTTCATAATAAAATAGGTATAATCGGTTCGCTATATCCAGTCCAAACTGTCTAGTGAATTTAGTAATTATTTTTTTGCGAAGTTAGTTACTTTTTAACAGACTAAAAGTGGCTGGAAATTACTATACAACCAAGCACACGTACTTATACCCAATATTAATAGTAAACAAACAAAATAGTAAATAAAAATAGAACTTTTCGAATTACAGACAATCAATATTTATTTATCTGCACCATATAATAAATAGTTATGTTAAATTATAACAACTAAAATATATTTTTTAAATGTATACTACCCAAAATTGGATTGGTTTAGTATACACTTATGTGTATAATGCTTGCATGTCACAATTTATATAAAGTCACGTCACTTATATTTAAAATTTCCAGAACGTCAACCTAAGAGTTTAAATATTCCTAACACAGCTAATAATACGCAACCCATACGGAACTGCTCGATCTTTCATAGGCGTCAATATGGTGTAATAATCAGAAAATTGTAATCATCATTATATTGGAAATTTTAGAATTATATTGATTAAGTAATCAAAAACATTTGTTATTATTAATAATATAACTTAATATTCTTCTGAAGCCATTTTCTTGTGGCATTTTAAATTAATTACTATTTAGCTGGGAATAAGCTACAATTAAAGATACAAATACGTTTATTGACGTTTCAATTTCCACTTCGGAAATAGTTCTCAAAATACAAACAGTACATTTTTATCTTTAATTGTGGCTTATTCCTAGCTAAATAGTAATTAATAATATAACTCTTATGAAATATCTCGTTAAGTCTAATATTCCACAACATAATAATTTTAATTAAATAGATTAGACAATTGTACGCAACTAATACGAAAATACTTCAAATTTTATTGATAGTTCAGCGTGTGGCAAAAAGTGTATAAGTGTTGCCGCTTTTTTAGAGTAAGAATTTTGTTTATGTTTTGATTAATACACAATTTAATCATAATATAATATATATTAATAAATTGTATTTATAAATACATATTAAATTTAGAGTAATAGCTTTAAAAACTAATTATTGTTGTGTATTGTGATTTTGCTATGCCAAAACAAATAAATAGTCTTAGAAAGTTCATAAGCTTTTATATATGATAGATTATTTTGAACAAGAAATAATGGCGGGACGTTTTTACTAGTAAAGCCCTAAAAGAGGTAAGTTTAAAATTTAGAATATATAATTTTGTATTGTTTTCTTATGTATTTTAGTGTGCTGCAGTAGTCTTAAAACTAATTTTATTTACTGTTAATATAATAGTTTAACAAATATTTGACGTTTAAAAAATTCCTCACTTTCTAACTATTCTGATATTTTGGCAACGCTGTGCAGACCTGACTTCGTAAATCGTGAGTGACGTGTAAGCATTATTATATGAAAAACGCTATATATTTCTTTAATAGAGAAATATTCATGACAATTGTTTTTAATAATGCAACAAGTCGCTCACTGTCGATTGCATTGAGCAATGTTTATAAGCAGTTGTTCAAAGTTGACAAGAAGATAGTGATTATCCCTGATTGATATTGATTTTTTAACGTACTTAATAATTATCTAATAGACACATAATTTCTTATAATAGAAATAATTTAAAAGAGAAGTTTAATAATATCATGGGTAAACCTTTAAGCCCATTGCTATCACATATTGTTATGGATCATGTAGAAACAAATATTTCAAAACATCCCGTATTCAAACAGTTTTTATACAGATATGTAGATGATAATACTGGTATACTTAACAGGAACTAAAAACTAGATCAAGTCTGATCGTACATTAATTTACTCCATAATCATATTGATTTTACAATAAAAATATAACAAAATCAATCCATACATTTTCCAAATTTTAAAATGAGACTTAAGAGACTTAAAAACAAACAGGATTTTTTCGTTTTTTATAAACCTATCCATACTAACACAACTATATTATAATTCATCATCCTACCTTACGCAACATAAATTATGTAGCAGCCTACCATAGCATATTGTTCTGAAGCTATTTTCTTGTGGCATTGTAAATTAATTACTATTTATAACTGGGAATAAGCCACAATTAAAGATAAAAATACGTTTATTGACGTTTCAATTTCCAATTTTTTTGAAATTTCGAAAGAGAACGATTTCCGAATTGAAAATTGAAACGTCAATAAACGTATTTTTATCTTTAATTGTGGCTTATTCCCAGTTATAAATACCATAGCATGTTACAAAGATTAACAAAAATTCCCTTTTATATAACTTTACGATGGAATCAATATATGATAATAAATAATAGATCAAATAAGTACTAATGATTTTAATTCAACATATTTTTTAAGGTTTTGTTTAGAACTGTTGCAATGATGGTACCTGACTACGCAATGATAGGAGAAATATCTTTATATTCTTATGGATTTAGAGACGCACGAAATTTGTCTGTAAAAATTGTCACTGTGTATCGGCTTTGTTCTGAACAACTATCATCTCAAAATCACTATGATTACGGTAAGTCGAAAATAGTTAAACTTTTGTTTCGTTTTTTTTTGGCTTTAATTTGAAACCTCTAGCCACGTAATCACATATAAATATTAGTATTTATTTATACTCAATTGTACAGGGAGGACACTTTTACCACTCATTAGTTCATCAGACCGATTTCATGTTAATACACAATACGTAAACCATGCCACGGTTAGATATATGTGCAACATAGGTACACAACATTGGTACAAATACAAAGGAAGTATCCATTCACACAATGAATGTTTCAATCACATACTTAATTTATTTTTTACGCAGAAATATTATATTTTGTCTTGTATTATCTTCACTTAATAATATATTTAAGTTTAATAGAGTATTTTAATCTGCTCTTAGCAATTATTGTAGCAACCACGTGCTTGGATTGAGATATAAGGGACAGTTGAAAAATGTGTGATTTAGATCAGTTCTGCCAGTTCCAGCTTGTATTGATATATAAGTGATGGTTGAAGAATATGTGACTTAGAACTGCTATGACAGGTCCAATTAAAATAAATCAAATAAGTATTAGATGTCCATAATTCACAGTTATTCTTATGATGATCGACACTGTGTTTCTACTTCGTACAAAAACTTTATAAAATTAGTTCAGAGCTACTGTTTGCTATAATTTAAATAAATTAGTGACTCTAACTTCACGAATCCAACGGCTATCCCATTAAAATTTAATATGATGCTTAAAATATGCATGAAGGTTACATACATTAACTTCTTAAATCAATATATATATATATATTATATATATATATATATATATATATATATATATATATATATATATATATTGTTATAATAAGTAAAAATAGAGAAAAGTATTGATTTGCTTAAAATATTTCAAAGTTCAAAAACATTAAAATGATTTAGATAAGTCAAACAATAAACTACAAACATTTCGAAGAATGAAAGTCTTTTAATTTTGGATTACCTGTATTGAAGAAAACGTAAGATATGCATAAATTATTTTCTTTGTTAAAATATATTTGAGTGACCCGCATAAGCTTAAGTGAAATCCTAGACAATGGAAGCGGTTTTTCCAAACAAATTTGTGCAGTAATTAGGACAATAGAATAGATTTTAGAAAGATATGTTTTTGTTAGTTCATAAAAATTTGTAGAAAAAGATTAGTTGTAAATAAGTTTTAGGAAATTTTATAATTGTAGGTAAAAAAAATTGTTGTGTTATCGAAATGAAGAAATGGGAGATGTATGACGCGTTTTTGATTGGATGAGATTGAAAAAGGTGGGATAGTTGGTTTAAGAATGAGACGTTAGTTAGTTTTGAAAGAAAAAAATATAGTCAGTTGGTTTCCAAGGGTGCAAGGCGAACGGCCGTTTTACTCGGGTAGTTTCCCCGAGGTAGGAAGCAGTAGCAGTGAAATTTTGTGAGTTTTCGTGTAGTTAGTGTACCTGACAGAAGCTGATCCAGTAAAAGATTGTAAGTTATATTTTCTACTTATATTCCAAGAGTCACTGTTCAGGCCAACGAGAGATTCAGTTTATCGCAAAGAGAAGATATTCCAAGAGTCATTTTTCACTCAGGCCAACGAGAGATTCAGTTTATTGAGAGAAGAAGACGCTGCATAATTTGAACGATTCGTGCATTTGAAGGAGATCATGAAGGACGATGATAAACTTGCAATAATTTGTTGTAAGATTGCTGATTACCTAGGGAGCTGCTAACAATAGATAGTGTAGGCTACAAGGAACAAGGCTTTGGACCAGTCATCATCATAGAGAGATAGTTTTGTTTTTCTGCAGTTTTTCTTTCATTGATAACACAATTTTTACAATTACTTTAGAAAAGATATAAATATTTTGATTAGAATATTTAGAATAATAATTGGGATTTTGAGAGTTTAACTAATATTATTTGTACCATTAATTTTGAAGGTTCACGTACGTAGAAAATTTTGAGAATCATTATATGAGATATTGTTTATTGAACACATTTGAGTGTGAATTTTATGTCATTATTTTTATTTCAATATATAATGTTAGATCCTATATGTTTTTTATTATTCCGGTATTCTTTGGACCTTACCTTTCACATGTAATAGCATAGATATTGAAGCACGGATATAGCCTTGAGATAAGAGAATTAAAAAGTGTGATAGAATCATAGCCATATCATTTAAATAATTTTAATTAATTAATTAATTAATTAGCTAAGTCAAGTCATGCAGTAAGTATTCTTCTTTGTCCCTTATTTGCTTTGGTGTTTGTGGAGCTTTTTCAGTTCTTAAATTCTTCAGGGTTTAAAAAAATAACTTTTGGTTAGAGTGGTAGTCTTTTTACATCTAGTTTCCGAATTCTTCCCAACTTTTCTGTTTCGCTGCTAGTACCATATCTTTGACTTTGATTCTTTGCGCTTTATATATTTAATAGTTGTCTGCAGTTCCGTTCCTTAAATAATTTTGCGTGCCGCATTCTAGCGATAGTTGACCACCATTAAACCGTAGAAAACTACTTATCATTACGAAACACATGGCTCAGATATTGATGCTTTCTTCCGTTTACCAATTCCACCTTTCGCCTCAATACCGTATTCGTCACTTTGTGTATGCAGGATATACTTAGTATGTGTCGGTCTGCCACAATTTTAAAGTCTATACTTTTTTTTAATTAAGGCTGTTTTAGCAGTTCAAACACACTGAGATTTGAAATGGGCGTATCACTTACATTTCTACTTTGCTTACGCGAGATTATCTTTACTCAGTGGCGTCGGCCAACGGGCAACAAAATGCATTACTCTCCATTCAAATTAGTTTTAACACGAATTAACTGACCGTATGCTCACGAAATTTGACGTCACTAATGCGATAACGGTGAATCTAAACGCCAATGATGACTAACACGTTTCACTATTAGATTTTAGTAATTTTTAGCAATTTTCTTCAAAGTTTGAACACGCTTTTCTCGATTATTACTGGACACATAATGGTGAAAAAAAAATCAACGATTACAGAAAAAAAAAACTCTTTCATGTGATCGGCGTAAAAAGTTTGGTTATAATAGAACGTTAAACAGTATAATCCAATTTTTCAACCGAAGTTTCAAAAAAATAAAAAAAGTAAAACCATCATTTTAAAAGCAACATAGTTTCGAATATTGTGTCCAAATTTCGAGACATTTTGTCAGTAAATAACAGTTCCTAGGTTTTGGTGCACCGATAAAACAGCCTTAAAGACTAGTTACTTTTTATAAACGTTTTATAAATTTTTGTTTATATCTTGCTAATCAATAAATACAAATTATATTTTAGGAATGAGGGCAGTAAAGTCGGTGCTGTCAGCAGCAGGTAACAACAAAAGGAAGTATCCTGACCTTGACGAAGATATTTTGTTACTTCGAGCTATTTTAGATGTCAATTTGCCGAAATTTTTAAATCAGGATCTACCATTATTCGATGGTATTATATCCGATCTATTTCCTGGAATTATATTACCTGAGGCCGATTATACGAAATTGATCGAATGTATGAAGATATGTTGTGAAAATAGAAAACTTATACCCAAAGATTGTGTCATTACTAAGGTTATTCAAACTTATGAAATGATGATAGTGAGATGGGGTTTTATGATAGTTGGATATCCCTTGGCTGGAAAAACTAGTACACTAAAAGTATTGGCTGATACGTTAACTTTAATGAACAAACAAGGTAGTGTTTGAAAATATAGTAAAACTCCTCATTTCAACAAATTACTAATTTTGTGAGTGACAAATTTAGTAATAAGTAATCTCTTAATTATTCCCATAATGGCGCCCTTAATAACGATCTCTTGATTTGAATTTTACTTTAAATTCTAAAAATATTAAAAATATTTGTAAATTATTGTAATTACTGTAATAATACACCAGTTTTTAATAATTGAGTAAGATCTAGAGTTAGAAGTACCCTTAAAAAACGTTAATTATTATGTTTTTAAAACGAAAACGTCCGTTTCTTAAACAAAACTTGTATTGCAAAAACTAAAGAATTCTGTACAATGTGACAAATAGTAAGTAGGTGAACAAATTTTTGTTCAAATGACACCAGTAAACTAAAATTGGAAATAACAAAATTGTAAAGAGAATAGTACATATCAAAAGCTAAAAGTTTAAAAACCGAAAGAATTTGCTGTTGTCTATAAAGATTGTGATTAGTATTGTAAAGCTAGAAATAAAAACTGGTTCAATCGACACCATTGCAAAAGTAAAACAAAGTATCAGGAAAATTTGAAAATTAACTTTTGAGATTAAAAAACCGTTGACTAGACCTTTTTCTTCTTCTTAGTCTTCTATCGTTCATTATTGGACATAAAGCTCCTCAAATCATTTCATCGACCTCTATCTCTATCTTGAGCAACATAATTTTAATTTTTTCTGGCTATTTTTTTTTAAGTCATCTACTTATCTCATTTGTGGTCTTTATCTTGGTCTTCAATGATGCATTGTGATGTTCTAACCTTGATTTTTTTGTCTACAGAGAGGCCTTCAAAGTTCCATTTAAATTTTCATATTTTGTTTTGATACTTCATACTTTTGTTTTTGATCTTACTCAATTGTTTTTTTTTGTATCTGACGATCGTACCTATATCTAACATTTCCCTTTCCATTGTTTTTTTTTTCTTGCTAGTATGTTTATATTTGCCTTGGTTAGGGTCCAGGTTTGACATTCACTTTTCATGATAGAACGACTGCATTGATTGAACATTTTGCTTGTCAAGTAATGAGATATTTTGCGATTTTTAATTAATTAACTAAGTTTTTTTAAATCCTACTCGTATCAGTTTTGCCCTTATAGTGATTTCCACAACTTGGTTCTCTTTAACAAGTTTCAGTTTTTAGCATAGATAGATTTATTCTTGGACTTTCCCTCGGTGTGTACTATAGACAAATATTAAATGGCACTTCAGATGCGAAGAGTGCAGCTTTCTTGTGAAATTTTTGTAGTTTACCGCAATTAAAGTCAGTTTCTATGAAAGTGTTAAATAAATAAACGTTGAGCGAATTTTGCCAGCCATTTCTTATGGTTCTCATGAGATCATTAAAATACATCACTTTTCCATTGACCGGTTACTATGGAATTTATATTCTCAAAGCAGAATCTTCAAAACCCATACCAGAGTATTGGCCACTTGGGCCCAACAGGCCCCCAAACAGGTCAAGGTTCACTCTGACGTCACTAGCGCCAATATCGGTAAGCGTTGGATCTGCATTACCGGCCAAGAAGGGTTCAGAACCAATTAGTCAGGATCGAAACCGATGACATCATAGTTTAACTACTATCCGCTAGTCAGTGCTAGTCATTGTAAATTATATTTTAATTTTAATCAAAGTAATTTACAAATAACATTAAACAAAAGGTGTCTCCTAGCGAGTCTTTGAACCGAGATCCAGCCTTTCCGAAGCAACGTATATATTTTATACTGCTAGCCTACTTACTCATCGATCTCTCTCTTCAATCCTGACCCCCCAGGGGGAGTGTAGTGTTCGACGTGATGTCGTGTATTGTCCGTCTCCAGAGATCTCTGTCTCTGGTCATTTCTTTGAATTCATGCATAGGTCTTTGGCATATTCCTGTAATTTAATCTATCCATCTTGTTGGGGATCTTGCTCGTGATCTTCGGCCTTCTACCTTTTCTTGTATTATAAGTCTTTCCATGTTTTCTGTGTTTGCTCTCATAACATGCCCAAAATATTTTAATTGTTGGAGATGGACTTTACTAGAGAGTCGTTGGCTAACTTTTAGCTCTCCTAAAATTGAATTATTTGTTCTACGGTCGGTCCAAGGAATTCGTAACATTCGTCTCCAACAGAACATTTCAGTGGCGTCTATCTTTCTTCTCTCCGATTGTCTCAGAGTCCAAGATTCACATCCGTAGGTCAGTATTGGGAATATTAAGCAGTTGATCAACCTCATCTTTATCGCTCTTGAAATTTGACAGTCCTTCCATATTTTGGTCATTTTTGCTGTGGCAACTTTTGCTAGATCACATCTACGTTTAATCTCTTCTTGTAATGACCCTGTGTTTGTGATTAATGATCCCAGATATAAGTATGAGCTCACAACCTCGAACCGGTCAATTGTGGTTATGTGTGGATGATTGTTGTGTAGTCTATCCACTATCATGATCTTTGTCTTTGATATGTTTAATTGCAGACCAAATATTTGACTTTCGTTTTCGATCAGTCGTATAAGTTCTATCAGCTCTGCTTGACTATTTGCAAGAAGGGCTGTGTCATCTGCGAAACGTAGGTTGTTTAGTTTATGACCATTTATTGAGATGCCCTTTTCCCATCCTTCAAGTGCTCTTCGCATAATATACTTCTCATATATGTTGAATAATTTTGGAGATAGTATACATCCTTGTCTGACACCCCGTTCTGGATGAAATTCGTTCGAAAGTGTGTCAAGTACTTTAACTGATCCAGTAATGTGTTCATATAGTTCGGTTATAAGCGTAATTAGATGTTGTGGTACGCCTACTTCTTTTAGTATTCGCCATAAGTGTCTCCACTTGACCCTGTCGAACGCTTTACGGTAATCTATAAAACAGATGTATAGTGGGATGTTGAATTCCCTAGATTTCTCGATTATCTGTCTTATATTCAGCAGGTGTTCTCGAGTGCCTCTACCTTTGGTAAATCCAGTTTGCTCTTGTGGAATTTCTCTTTGAAGGAATGTTTTCAGTCTCTCATTGATTATATGTAGCATTATCTTGCTGGCATGGGATATAAGAGAGATAGTTCTATAGTTGTCGCATTTATGGAAGCTGCCTTTTTTATGTATGGTCGTTATTGTAGATTTTGTCCAGTCTTCAGGCCATTGTTTGGAATGCCATATTTGGTTACAGAGTAGATGAAGTAACTTTACGCTGGTTTCTTCTGTGGCTTTAAGCATTTCTGCTGTTATCATATCTGGACCTGGTGCTTTGTTATATTTGAGCTTGTTGATAGCCTGTCTTACTTCATTTTCGAGTATATCAGGTTCTTCTTCCACCTCGTCAGAGATTTGGCTAACAAGCTCTTGGCGTTGATCATCTTTATATAGGTCCCTGCAATACGATCTCTATGTCTCTGCTATGTCTTCTCTGTTTGTTCTCAGGGTTCCAGTGTTATCTTCAATGGCCAAGTTCTGGCTCTGAAGTCTCTTGTCAGGTAGCGTATTTTTCTAAATAGATCTCTCGGCTGATTATTCTGACCATGTCTCTCAATTTCTTTGCATATACTTTGATAGTACTGTTTTTTTGTCGGCCTTACATCTTCGTTTTATTTCTTTATTGAGGTTTCTTAAACTAGCTTTTTCCCTTTCACTATGTACACCACTTTTACAAAGATTTCTTCTATTCTCAATTATTTTAAGAGTTTCATCTGTTATCCAGTGTTTCCGTTTCACCGGATTATTTTTCTTTGAGCGATCCACTGGTGTTGTTACGCAATGTTTAACAGTCTCCCATATTTCTTGTGATGTTCCGTTACGAATAGAGGGCATACTTTTCTGTACTTCCTGTAGAAGGTCTTCTTTCTTTCTTAGTTCTATCCTCTTTATCTCTCTTTGTTTGTTGGGTGCTTTAAGTTTAAGCATTACTTTAGCTACGAGGAGAGTATGATCGGATCCGCATATCACCCTGGATATGATCTGACTGTTTGAATGGACGATCTCCAGCGAATATTGTGAGGACTAATCTATTTGATTTCTAAATCTATCTCCAGGACTTTTCCAAGTATAAAGTCGACGTACATGGTGTTTAAATCGAGTATTCATGATAGAGTAGTTGTTTGTGATAGCAAATTCGATTAAACGGTCTCCTCTTTCATTTCTCTGCCCTATGCCAAACTTTCCCAGTACATTCTTTAAGTCGTCATTTTGTGTAGTGTTGCCAACTTTTGCATTAAAGTCGCCACATATTATAGTAAGTTCTTTATTTGGTATGTTAGCGATTGTGGTCTCCAGTTTTTCGTAGAACTCCTCGATCTTTATGTCATCTGATGTGCTGGTTGGCGCGTAAACTTGTATGATATTAAGTTTATGTGGTTTGCCATCCAGTTTAATGAGTACTATCCTATCGTTCACAGCTTTAAATTCGACTACTGACTTTTGTAATCTTGGTGAGACCAGAATGGCAACACCTGTATAGTTCTGAGTCTCACCGCCAGAGAAGTAAATATAATTGCCATTGTTTGTTCTAAAATGGCCCTCTCCTAACCAATGAGTTTCAGCTAGTCAAGAGATTTCTATATTGTATCTTGCTAGCTCGTTTTTAATAATTGCTAGCTTACCTGTGATCGTTTATAGCCCTTGTATATTCCATGTACCGACCTTCAATAGCTGCCTGAGTTTTACTTTATCTTTTTGTAGACCAGTAGCTGAATTTCCACACGATGCCTGGTCACTAGCATTTGTGTGGCCGGTGGCCAATTTTACACTACTTGACCCGGACTCAAGGTAGCGCCGGCCGTTAACGGGCTGCGTGACAACATCCGAGGCATTCCATTCGATGACATCACGCATAACTTTCTTGGGAATTATTATGCAATGGTTTCCCCTGCCCTATTGCATCGCAGTATCACAACCTTTCTGCTGTTACAGCTCCGCTTGTAAAATTCCAATGATAAGCCGGTTCAGGATAATTTCCTATACGCCTTAACTTGGTACTGACGGTCGCTGCTGCCCTCCGTCAGAAATGTTTATCGACCTTCCGGTCAAAGATTGAGGAATTTAGGAGTGTGTGAATGGGGAGAGGCGCAAGTTACACAGTTTGTGTGTAGGGGGCGCGACATGTATATGGCACACACCCCCCGCGAAAAGTGGACCTCTTCCACTTTTTGCACGGTCAATCCACTCATCGATATTTGTTCTTAATAATAGGTATAAAATAATAAGGAGGATTACGCTTATCACAATCTTAGTCGAAATTTATGTACTTGTATATATGGCTTATTTAAATTTTATATAAATAAACGTTGTGCGATTTTTGCTAGGCATTTTTTACTTTTAATTTAGTTTTATCATCAGAACCATATAGAAGTATTATTATATGCGTTGCTTATAAATGTGAAACAAATTTGTCACATTTTTTTTATATTACTTAATGTATGATAATAATGTTTTTAATATTATATCTTAGGTTTACCTGAAGAAAAAGTTGAAATAGTTACTATAAATCCTAAAGCAATAACAATGGGTCAGCTCTATGGACAATTTGATCCGATATCATACGAATGGTTTGATGGAGTAATAGCAACTACTTTTCGCAATTTTTGTACGGACCCTAGTGCTAACAGAAAATGGATGATTTTCGATGGACCCGTTGATGCAATTTGGATTGAAAATATGAATAGCGTATTAGATGATAACAGAAAATTATGTCTTATGTCTGGTGAAGTTATGTCGATGACTAATGCGATGTCTCTAATATTTGAAGTGATGGATTTGGAACAAGCATCTCCTGCAACGGTAATGTCATATGTTTGATTATTAAAATCACTAATGATTTACAATAAGTGGCAGGGGAAAAACTTCAAATTTGTTTCAGCTGACAATATAAAAAATCCCAAATTTAAATAATCTTTTGAAACTAATAGTCTTTTGGAAAAAGTTATAAATAGTGTTGTTTAATATTGAATAGTATAACTACAGTGGAGAAGAAAATATGGATTCGTAATAATAATTTTGGTAGTCTTCAGCTTGTATAACACAATTTACACAATGGATCGTTAGCTCAGTTTGTAAGAGTATCACATTGATTCTTACATCGTGGAGGTAGATTTAAACAAAAATAAGAGGAAAAAACACATAGGTACATCCTTAGTAATACCATAATAAAAAAGTATTTTACAAAATGCGTCGAAAGAACTTATAAAAGTCAAATGCCTCCACCGATAAAATATCAAAATTATATATTTTATAAATTATTGCATTTTATTTTTTTGACTTCCATATATTCTGATATTTTTTTCATATTTCATAAATATCATATAATTGACATTTATCCTGCCGTCCTCAAATAAAACGCGGTATCTACAGCCAACTTAAAACCGAGAAATCGGCTATTAAATTTTTTTCTCTGGACTCTATATGTTTTGATAACTTTTTAACGCAAAACATGTTCTAATGATAGTCGAACTTTATTTAAAAATATATTCTTAAAAAAAATCATGTTTTTATCAAACCTGTAAATAAAAAGTTATATACCGCGTTTTAATTAAGCAGCGGACATATTAAAGTGGATCAGAAATAGTGCCGTATCTGCATTTTATTTATAAATAGGATATTTTACAAGGAAGTACAGTTTCCAAAAAAGAAAAATAAATAGCTTATAATTGTTTATTGTGTACGCAAAATACATAAATGTTCAAAATACAAATAATAGGTGTATTTAAAAAATGAAAAAATAATTAACTTAAAAACCAACTATAAGCAAACAATTATGATGTATCTCTCTCCTCGTCACTACCGTTATCATTTGTAAGGTCCGGCAAATTTTCCCAAATTGTTTTCGATTTTTTGGAAACAGAGTACTTAATTGTTTAAGAATGTTATCTCTTTTTTCTCTGGAGAATCCTCTGGGTTTTTTAAAGAATGTGTGGGTTTCAGAAGATCTTTATTTTCATCGCTTTATTCATTAGGAAATCCAAAATATGAAACTATCCATTAAAACTTTTCTTATATTTTAAAGTGTATTGGCCGCGCTCAACCACAATCTGGACCATATCTGAAAGGTATGAGTCGGTTTTCTACATCTTTCTTTAATTTAGTTTGTGACGTCATTTTTTTCCAAATATAAAACTCAGTAAAACTCATTTCTTTAACCTCCACGTTTCCTTTGCAACTACTCCCAACTGCATATGAACTGAACGAATATGAGATTTTTGCAACACGAGTCTCGGTGAAAACGCGGTAAATGCGCTGTGCTCAATTAAAACGCGGCAAGTATATGATTGCCGCAAGCACATACCGCTTTAATTAAGCAACTATTGAAATTTGGCACATACGGCATATGCCAATTTCTTTATTTTGCTAGTAAACAAAATAATACGGCTTTTAGACATTGCAGAAGCATAAATAAGGTCACAAGGAATCTACATATAGAAAAAACTCGATTTTCAATTTTTTTTGCAGATTCCGCGTTTTAATTGAGGACGGCAGTATCTATCCTTAACGATAATATATAGCATGCAATACATCGTTAAAATTTCCTATTCCACTTATAAAAAAAAAAACCAAAATGTAATAACATTAAGATAGTCTTGAGATTTAAATATTTAATATTAGCCTTTAAATTCATTTTTCTTGGCCTATGCGTGTTTTTAAATTCGTGGTACAAACAAAATTCTATATTTCACTGCCTCACTTCAGAAGATTTTTGCGAATTATTTAGATAAATTGATTGATTGATACTTCTGGAAAGATGAATTGGTATGTCGGTCCTCACTGAATGTTTAGCTAGACCACCTGATATAATTTATTTAGATTTATTGTAAGTAATTATTTCAAATTAAAGAACTACAATATCTACTACAGCGGACATCCTACAAGTCACGAATTTGTTACCGGTATTATTGTAAGCAGCAGAACTAAATACAGCGTAATTTACTTCAAAGCTATTGATCACAGAATATGCTGAATACGACTTTAAAGGAAAGTTTGCGAATGTTAATATTACAAGTAATTACACAAAGACCAAAAAGAAAGAGGGCGACGAAAAAGACATGTTCTATGAGACAGTGGACCTACAGTATAATAAGTCTCAAAACATTATGGTAAAATATTAGCAGGAGACGCTAATGCCGAAGTCGGAAGAGAGAATTTTTTCTCTAATCATCGGTAAAGAAAGTTAACACGTAGACAAGAACGATAACCGACTAAGACTCATGAAATTTGCTATCATCAAGAATATGGTAATAGGTGTGATACAAATTTATCACAAATACATACTTAAGGGAACTTGGAAATCTGATAAAAAAAAACGAGCAACCAAATCGATTATAGAGTCGTTGATGCAAGACACTGTTCTTACCTTGTAAATGTTGAGTATTTCTGAGGAGCAAAGATAGATACTGATAACTATTTTTGTTAAGTCACAGTTCAAATGAAGAATGTCCAATCAAAAAAGAGATCGAAAAAGGAACAGAAAAAATAAATAAAAAAAAAGAGGTTAGTCTTCGTAAGTGGGTATATTTATTTAAAAACCCTTAAAAGGGCTACATAAAAAAAACAAAACGTTTTCGGACTAAACAGTCCATCATCAGGTTTAAATTTTAAAATTGCCTAAAATAAGTATAAACCATTTAGTTAAAACAAACGTGGTTATGAAATTTTGACTATGGTTAAAAAGCAAAAATGGCTATACTTACTAGGTTAAATGCCTGAGCCACCAAAATACATGGGTAAAAACCTTTAAATTACATATAGTTGTAAAAGATTATACATCATGTTGTTAAAAAACTGTGATGTTCAGTATTAAATTAAATATGACTTCAGGTAACATACATGGCTGAAGTGAGTTCCAGAGCCGGAGAGTAAACCTCTACACTACGGAGAACAGCTGGAAACTGATTGACAATGTACCTATGAACGGTGTCGGAAACAAAATGTCAATGTAACATGGAACTATATTAGTTATACCTAGTATTACTACAGCGAAAAGATTCAAAAAATTATTTTGATGATTTTTAAAAAAATAATATACAGGCAATTCTAGTGTTGGGATTTAAAATTTTGGGTTATAATAGATGTGAAATCACCGATGGTGTTAAAGTCATGTTTAAGAGGATGACCTGATGTATTAGGCAACCTATGTTACTTTTTGTAATGAAGTTATTTTTAATTTAATACTGAACATCACAGTTTTTTAAACAACATGATCTATAATCTTTTACAACTATATGTAATTTAAAGGGTTTTATACCCATGTATTTTGGTGGCTCAGGCATTTGAACCTAGTAAGTATAGCCATTTTCTGCTTTTTAACCATAGTCAAAATTTCATAACCACGTTTGTTTTAACTAAATGGTTTATACTTATTTTATGAAATTTTAAACTTTAAACCTGATGAGGACTGTTTAGTCCGAAAACGTTTGTGTTTTTTTGATGTAGCCCTTTTAAGGGTTTTTAAATAAAATATACCCACTTACGAATGACTAACCCCCTTTTTTTTTGTGATACGTGGTATACAGCCAGCTACAGGAATTGTTTTCCTTGTGGATTTTAAAAAATAAATATTTACAAATTAAAAATGCGGACATAGCAAATATATACAGAAAGAATCTAGGAGATAAAATAAGGATAGAAAACATGGAAGAAAAAGAAGATATAAAGCAATCATAGATAAATGTACGAGATATTATATTGCAGAAATCGGTTGAAATATTAGGTAAAACCAGGGCAGAATAAAAGAGTCAGTGGTTTGATACTGAGTGCAAGATGGTAACAAACAGAAAAAACCCAGCATATCAAAAAAATCTTAAACCAGGTTGCACACAAAGAACAAAAAAAGAGTATAGACGCCTCAGAAGAGAGGAAAAGCTTTTTCATCGATCTAAAAATAGGTTGTATCAATAAAAAAAACGTTAAATGAGATACAAAGTTTGTTTAGTAGAAGTAAAACAAGAAACTATTACATGTTCCTAAATAGAAGCCGTTAAGAGTATAAGCCAAAAGTAAAAAGTTGTAGAGATATATAAATAGTGAAATTCTACCTTATACAGACTCAATTATTAATAAATGGTCACAATATTTCAATGATCACCAATTTAGATTATAATACATAAGGCAACAACATAGAACATGTAAGTATTTTATATAACAACAGAGAAAATCACGAAACATACATCAGCAACTACATACTGAGGTGCTAAAAATAGAAGTATCAAATGGCATCCAAAAACTTTAACAAGATTCCACAAATTTAAGGAATGTTTGATGGACTACCACAGAAGAATATTAACTCAATACTACTGCAAGGAACAAATCCTATACGGTGTTCCAAAAATTCACAAAGAAACTGTGAGTTCTCCTTGATGCAGACTGTTAAATTTCCTCTTAGACATAATACAGCCTATATCAAACAACACAAAATCTTTAATAAAAAACTCGTAGGGGTTATTGCAAAAACTATCAGAAATAGATTATAAGTCCAACAATATGCTAGTCGCTCTTGACGTAGTTATGCTATTCTAGGCATCCTTCTATAAGACCACATTTCAAATAACTGTTGTTTATTTGTATGTTCTTGCTTCAGTATCCAGTTTTCAAGTCCATATTGCAGTATCGAAAACATGTAACATTTTAGAGCTGTTACACTAAGTTCGAATCTAAGGTCTTTATTGCATAGAATTATTTTCATGTTTACAAACGAATTTCTTTCTATTTCTGTCTTTTTTTCTGTTGTTTGATCATTATTTGATATATATTGATACATCTCCCAAAAGCATGTTTGTTTGTACATTTTTTTT